ATGTAATGTATAGCATAAGGAATATAGTCAAAATATTGTAACAACTTTGTATGGTGATAGCTGGTAGCTAGAATTATCATGTATATAAATGTTGAATCACTGTGTTGTACACCTGAAACTAATGTAATACTGTGTGTCAACTACCCTTCAATAAAATAAAATGAAATAAAATAAGTGCCTGTAACTTCAAAATAAGCCTTTTCAATTAGACCAACAGATACTCTCTTTGAAATTAGGAACCAGCCTTTCAAAGATTTGCATATTAGCTTTATACAAATATGTTTCCAAGTTAGATAATACTGTTTTAAAATTTGAAAAGAATTGCCAGAGGATGCAAATAATCATATACATTGTTAAATATGTTTCAACACAGTTAAATAAATGTGAACATAGCAAAGAGTAAAGCTATGACTTACCGGAAAGTAACCTGGGATTAAGTACTCAGGACAAACAGCTCTTCTTCAACCATTTTCCTTCCCTCCTCTCCTATGTCTTTTCTTTAATAACTACGGATTCCTGTCCTTCCCTTCACATGGAGGGGGCTGGGTCTGAGGACACAATCACGACAGAGGGGACTGGGGTTCCAAGAACTAGGGGCCAGGGCTGAGGAGACAGCCAGGACCAAGGAGGAGGCCAGTACAATCAGCACATTCAAAAAAAAAAAAAACAAGTAGAGCAAGAATTAAGCAAATAAGTCAATATACTGAAGATAATGGGAGCAAGCTTCTCACTGTTAGAAGGGGAAATTATAAAGGAGGTGGAGGCTAGAATGAAATTTGTGATGTTGCGTTGGAACTGCAGGTATCACTGTGAACTCATAGATTTTGATACATATGCAAGTATATACATATTTTGTGTATATACATAAATATACACATATATACACATATGGAGAAATAACACATAGATGTGATGTGTGTAGGTACGTGTTTGTATATACGTGAACATATTCCCTAGCTCTGTCTCATAGAGGTCCTGAAGCAATCACATCACAATGACAATGAGCACACTCAGTACCCAGATCCTGGTTTCTAAATACCAGGCTCTACTACAAGCAACTCCTTGGTAAAACAGATCCAGAAACAGGACAGAGCAGGGAAAGTATACACTAAACTTGCAAATTCTTGGCCAGAAAGTAAAGAAATGCTCAAAATATAATGGGAAACTGTCAAAAGCCATGGGAACCAGCTTGAATGGTTCCCCACTGGCCAAAAAATGGCCCTAACATCTTGACCAGAAAGTAAAGAAATGCTCAGAATATAATAGGGAATCATCAAAAGTCATGGGCGCCAGCGTGAAGGGGCCCCCACTGGCCAAAGCTGGGACAATTTGAACAAAAACGTAAAGTATGATGGCATCATAACTCACTAAATAATGCAGGAATCCCTAAGTCTACACTGATATAAAAAAATAACAGATGAGGAGAAGGGAAAGATCTTTATAGTAGGATGCCTAATAAATATATGAGGAATGATGGAGTTAGAAAAATACCACTTGGCAACCATCATGTAATAATTTATTGAGGCAGAAATCATCAATGGATGATAAAACAAGGGGGTGAAAGTTTATTCAGGAACAGCGTATTTATATAGTCTCAAAAGTTCCTTTCCATAAAATGCTTATTAATTACAAAGGGGAAACAGTAACTTTCAAGCAGAGAAACTTGGAAGACACCAGGAAAACAAATTAGTGTCTGTGTATGTGTACAGTTGACTCTTGTTATTCACGGCAGCTATGTTCCATAAAGTCACTCAGAACACTAAATCACAGATACTCAATGATCCCTGAAGAAATATACAATCTTCCAGCCTAAAAACAACCCATCTTGGTAAAGTCTATTTTATTTGCTTTACAAAAGAGGAAGCGAGGTTCAGAAGTGCAAAGAGATTTGCCTGAGGCTGCCCCACTAATGGTGCCAGAGTTGAGATTCAAACCCTATCCAACTAGACCCAGAGCCAGCACTTCTCGATCTACACTGCACTGCTCTCTCCCATAACCACCCTCTGGTCATCTCTGGTTCAACCTCAGCTGAACAAGGTGACAAAGGTGTATGGTGACTCATATTTAGTTTTTAGCTGCTTCATACAGGTTTGTGAATGACCACAAAGATACCACCATGAGTACTGATTCTGAGGTTACAAATAAATCTTACTAAGTAGGCAGTTTTGCAAATACAGAATCTGTGAATGATGAAGACTGACCACGTATAAGTGTGTATAGACACAGATATATGATATACACGTGTACATATGCAAACACAGAAAGAGGCAGATACCCTAAAGCAAATGTGGTAAAATGCTAGCCACTAAGGTACTGGATAAAGGAACCAGAATGTTTTGTACCATTCTTTCAACTTTTTAAAAGTTAAAGAAACTAGAGGAAACCCCCACTTACATCCTCTAACTAGTAATAACAACAAAAAAGAACAGAACAGGAAGGTCAAGAATCCATCTCTAGCTGCGAGCCAGTGGGAAAGCAACTTCACCTTTCTGGGTCTCTGGTCCATCATCTGAACAAAGCAGGAACCAGACTCCCCTGAAGGACCCCCCAACTGCTACAGGTGGCAAGTCCTACCATTCAGTGTCACCAAAGGCACAAACACCTACCATCAGATTCACTTTCTTCAGAGTGAATTTCCACTGGCTCCATGGACTCGGGAGTTGAAATTAAATCCTGGCCTGCAGATCCCAACATCTCATGTTCTTGGATGGTTTTTAGGCAATTCTCATGCTCTATAGCATGAAATGATACTGCATTTTCTAAGTTACTTATTGTCTCTGAAGGGACACTTGGCCTATTACTAGTTTCTTGCAAACTGACAGTGCTTATGACTTCAGAAGCAGAATTTGTTTCACGTTCTGTTTCACCATCACTTGCAATAACAGAGGAATCATATTTACTCTCGTAGGGACAAGGATCTTGTAGCTCAAGTGCTTTGGTATATGTGTCATCCCTTGACAGACAGCGTGGACTTGGAGGAGGTGCTGCAGTCAGTCCCCTCCCACTCTGGAGCCCAGGTGCCCTGCTGGGCATCACCACTGGGCCTCCCGAAGGAACCGGCTCTTTTCTGTCCTTAACCGTAGACTCCTCACTTGCCTGAGAGGCTTCACAGGCCATGTGAACAGGTGACACTTGTTCTTCTGGAACACTAGATTCACTGCCTTGACAAAAGACAGTACCTGACAAACGAGCTGAGCGTGCCAGCTCTGCGTCATTGTTAGCGCTGGTCACACGCTCCTCGACAAAGCTCCCGCTGCCCGAGTGGGGCCCCGTCATCGACTGCATTCCTTTTCCATCTGTCACTGCAAGTCTTTCATCAGTTTCCCCATCAGAACTGCTCACATGGGGCGTCTGGGCTCCTGACCCTCCCCTCTGCAGGCCCTTCCCGGCATGCACTGTCACATCGTCATCATCATCATCGAGAGCTTTCTGAATTGCTAAGAGAGTGAGTGGGGAGACCGCGCCCTCATCTTTGGTAGCAGATCTGTTCCTCACATCAGACCGCTGCGGATTCTCAGCGTCCAGCTCCTCCTCCGAGCTGCTTCCCAGCAGGGCAGCTTGCACAGCCAGCAGTGTTCTTGGGGAAGGAGGCGCAGCACCAGGCTCTGCCTCCGGCTTCAGTTTTTCACATGGATAGGACTTCGTGTCCAAAGACTTGTGATGTGTTTCACTGGAAGAAGGAAGAGACTCTGCATCCACTTCTGAAACGTTCTTAGCTTGAATACCTGAAGAAAAATTAAAACATTCCTCACTACACAGTTTAACGGTGTGACAATATACTTCTAGCGAGATGAGTAATACCAGTTCTCAAAATGAAGTTATAAATTTTCATGGAATCAGCCCTAAGAGTTAATTGTTAGTTAATTTTAAAGTGGGCTGGTACAATAGTAGGTAATCCATTAACAGGATATATACCTTCATTATTCGGACTTCATTAACACTATCTTGGGGTGGTAGTTTACAGAATTCAAAGACACACATATTTGTGGTTTTCGGCTGTCAAGTAAGTGATGGTGCCTGATACCTTTTATCAAGATGTAATGTGAAGTGTCTTCAGAGACCACTCTCCTCGACTCTACCTCCTTCAGAAAGCCCCCTTCATCTTCATATTGCCTTTGGATTTGTCCTGAATGTTGCTGATTCATTTCCTTTTGGATGTTCTCTATGTGTTGGTTTAGATAGTTTTTTTTAAGCAAGCCTTTGAGCTGGTACTGAGAAAAGTCATTGGACTCCTAAAGCAAAAATAAATAGAATGATTTTCTTCTAAATACAGATAATACTCCCATATTTCCAGCCCTTTCCCCAAAAAGAGATTAAAAAGCCACTGATATTTTTCATTGGTCGTATCTTCATATTATTAAAGCAAAATTTGAATACTAGGAAAAAACTGAAAGTGCCCTGTTAAAGAATAATCTTTAAAACAAAAAGAACTGGGCAAAAGAAAAGAAATTATGGATACCATTAATGATTTAAACATTTACTCAAAAAACATTTATTGAGCATGCCATGCATGGCAGGCACTGTGACATTCTGATTATGGCTTTACAGACAGACAATCTTCTAGAATGCAAGTAAGCACGCAGGTACAGGACCTAGCACGGCCCCTGGCCCATAGAAGACACAATAAATCACAGCAATCACAGCATTAAAAGTAACAGTTAACATTTATAAAGTGGCTCCTGTACAAGGCATCTTTCTAAGGGCTTTTATATATACTATCCCAAGTTATTCACAACCACCCTAGGAGGCAGATTCCACAAATGAAGAACTGGGACAAACAGGCTAAGTAACCTCCTGAGAGTCACAGGGCTAATCACTGGTAGATCTGGGATCAAAGCAAGTCGCTAAGCCTTAAACTATTTTGCTCCTATTGCTATTATGATTGCTACTTACCACCATTACTATTAGCAATACAGCATTTGCCCAGTGTACATATGATACAAAGGTCCAACCTGGGTGACTCAGAACTCCCCTCACTATCAGAATGACAGAGCCAGTGAGCCACTGCACACTACCCCACCGTCTACTGGTCCCAAGGCTCCACGGTGGCAGAATGAGAAGGAAGCACGTCACTAGGGACCCTCCCATGCCTTCCCACTGTTGTTTACCTAACCCAAATTATGTTTTCTCAAAAACCAGCCAGAGAGTCTTCTACACTCAGAGATAAAATGCTTGATAAAGAGACTATCCCCTGAAATGAAAATAAATTTACTGCTGTCCTTTACATATCATTTCTGAGCACTTTATTATCTACCTATGTTCATATTCTTAAAAAACAGAAAGTGGTGATGGGAAAAGAAACAGCTCCTGTCTGCCTTTTTCATATTTTTTGTATCAAATTAAAAAATATTCAAAAGTCTATAGAAAAAAAAACACTACATCCATTCATTAGGAAAAATAATGCTTCAAACTTTGTATTCTGTCCTTCAGGGAGTTAAAGAAGAGAAAAGTTAGAAATCGTAGGTGGCAGCAGGGAAAAAAGCTCATCACCAGCTAAAGACAGTCACAAGCAGTGGGCCTGAGTGAGAACCCCAGGCTCAACCCCAACTCCCACGCCGAGCCACTCCACAGTCCTGTGGCCGGGGGCCACCATCAGATGCTCCAAGTCAAGAAATTTTAGCACTAATTCCCCATCACTACTGTCCAGAGAGGAGAGAAGATGGAGTTCCAATTGCATTGCTAGACCTGCAGTAGAGAAGATATACCTGGAATTTCAAGTTAGAACATACTTTTCCACTGTGATTATGTTCTATATTACAACCAGTATCCTACAGACAAAGTATATTATGGGTTAAAATAATTTTTATGATCTAACCTAAGAACTGCATGGCATATTTTTGGTATTTTCAATTGGTCAAGTAAGTGATGTATGCACTGGGCACTTACTATGTGAAAACCCTGAGCTAGGCGCTAAAGATAGAGATGAGCAAGGCAGGCACCTTTAGGTGGTGCTAAGAACAAGAAAGAAACATGACAGAGTGCCGTGAGGACACAGATACTACGTACTGGCTATGGATATTGTGTAAGTAATGCTTGTCAATTTTCTCTTTTCTAAGGACAAATTTTGCTGAAGTTCTTAATTCTAAGCATTAATGTGCTGCTCTATTTTTCACCTCTGGCATTGCTTCAAATAATGTTCTTCTTCGCTTGGTAAATTCTTTCATATCCGTCAAAATTTCATGCTTTATTTCGAGGGGCAGGCTGCCAAAGTCTTCAGACTCAATATCTATCGCATGAGGATTATGAAAGAACTCTTCCTGTGAAGAGTAAAACATAACACCATGAAATCTACATTTCGCACACTTAGGTATACTCATCATGATAAATATTTATTGTGTTTTTAATCATAAACATAGTTCCACATAATCTACAATAGGCTAAACATAGTTGTATGTAACCTGTATAGGCATCAAAGTTAGTAGGCAGATTAGGGAATGTATCCATTCACTCGTCTTTCATTTAAAGGAAAGAAAGAATGCTTACCAGGCACCATCCATCAATGTGCCAGGCACTGCTCCAGGTGCCAGGGTACTGTGGCAATCATGCCCGATAATATCCCTACTCTTACGAGTAGAATAAGACACGTGATAAACAAATAATTAAATGAATGAACAAGATAATGATAAGAAAAATATAGCAGGTTAATCTGATAAAAGAGTGGATTAGGAAAGAAAAAACATTTATTTGATAGCTAGAGAAGACCTCATTTAAAAAATGACCTGTGAGCAGGAACTTGAAAGACACCAAAAAGACTGGTCAGTAAAGAGCAGTTGCAGAACAGCAAATGCAAAGGCCCTGAGGCAAGGATGAACCTTATGGATTTGAACAATATTTTAATTCCTTTAATTAGATTAGTTTCCTTTAGCTCTTAGCCTAAAATCAAAAATGAAATGAAAAGTGAGAAGTTTCAGACATGGAAAAGTGTAAAACTTCCCTAACTAATTACCAGAAGTACTTTAAAACTCTTCATTTGTAAAGAAGATAAAATAATACTTTGCTTCCCCAGTATGTGTGTGCAAGTGCAAACCAGCAAGCACTTAGAACAGGCCAGTCATGCTCAGAGCATCCTGTGCTTTCTATTCAGTATTGCTCTCATTATGCCATGAGGAAGGCATCAGTATTATTTTTGTCTTACCAAAGAGAAAAAAAAAAGGGAAATAAAGCCTTGGAGAAATTAATTTGTCTAAGATCACAGAGCTAATGAACAGTAGAGCCTGGACTTAAATGCACATGTTCCTGACCACAAGGTCTGTGGCCTTTATCAAGCTTGCAATCACTTGCTGATTTAATAATTCAGAACATCCACAAGTTGAGGGATCCTGTGGTTTGGGCTCCAAAGTCGTCTTCCAGATGTACCAAATTATAGAACATAAAAGAAATGGGTAACTTGGGAATTAAAGAATGTTACCCACTATGCAAGAAACCTGAAAAAATAATGTTTAACTTGTGTATCTATAGTACAAGTTCAATTTGTAAAAATGTTACTCATTAAAATATGTGTGGCATGGGTTTTAAAACATGCCTACAGGTTCTCTGACCCTCTTCCCATCTCACTCCTGCCCCTTAAACTGGGGCTGGTCTTAGGAACTAACTTCTACCCAACAGACTGTGGCAAAAAGAAGCTGCCCAACTTCCAAAGCTGCTAGAAAAGGCCCCACAAGTCCTTCTAGGCACATTCTCTAGGCCCTTGGGAGCCAGGGCCAGGCTGGGAACAAGCCCAAGCCACAGGGAGAGGCTACAGTCAGATGTGCCGGCTGAAGGCCAGACACGCGAGCGGGAAGCCCAGCTACAGTCTGCATCTACATGGGAGATGCCGAGGCACAACTGCCTTGCTGAGCTCATCAATGCCCAGAACAGTGAGAGATGATGTTGATAATGCCCATTTCCACATCACTAAGTTATACAGTAACAGATGACTAGAACATATGCACAGACATCCATCTATACAGATCTATGTACACGTGTACATTTGATACACACACACACACACACACACACACACACACACAGAGGTATTCAACTATGAGGCACAGAGGGAAGAATGGACTAATATATACCAAAGTGTTACTAGAAATAATTTTTTGGTGGTATGTTTTCCATATTTTTACACAAACTTACATTACTATTTATATTTATTCATTGGTTGATTGGTTAGCTGTAAAAGAAGGGTATCTAGGTATGTACAATGGCAAATTCCATACATAGGCACAGCTTCAAGACGTGGTAGGTTTGATTCTAGATCATAGCAGTAAAGCGAATATGGCTACAAAGTGAGTAAAATGAATTCCTGGGTTTCCCAGTACATATAAAAGTTATGCTTTCACTATATGGTGGTCTCATAAGTGTGCATTAGCAGTATGTCTAAAAAAACAATGTATGTACCTTAATTTAAAAAGTTTACTGCTAAACAATGCTAACCATCATCTGAGCTTTCAAAGTCATCGTCACTGATCACAGATCACCACAACAAATATAATAATAATTCAAAAATCTGAAATGCTGTGAGAAATGTGACATAGAGACACAAAATAGGCAAAGCTGTTGGGAAAATGGCACCAACAGACTTGCTCAATGCAAGGTTGCCACCAACCTTCAATTTGTTAAAAAACTCAACACCTGTGGAGTGCAATAAAGCAAAACTCAATAAAACAAGGTAGTCTGTAAATGTGTATAAACACATGCACCCCCCCCACACACACACACACACATACAAGTAAAGAAGACATCTGCATTTTTTATCAGGAACTTTCATAAATTTATACTACCACACTAAAATTATTCATTTTGATGTCATTCATTTCGATTAATAGCATATATTCTAAATTCAAAAGTCATTTAAATACCTGTAGTGCTTGCTTTTGATTCATTCTTTCTTGCCATTCTTTTTCATCTTCCTCTTCTGAACTGAAAGTCAAGCATAAATTTACAAATCTATGCTTTAATGACTACTTACAAAAATATTTCTTGAGGGCAAAGGCTGCTAGTTATAGGGGCTGCCATGGTGAGTAAGATGGCAAGGTGCATGCCATCACTGTCCCCGTTCAGTCGGAATACATGGAAGCGAGCAGTTACACTGTGATCTAAGAAGTTCCATCGTAAGCAAGAAGCAGCTAGGCCCAGCTTCAGGGGGTCCTGAAACCTTGCTGGAATTCCCAGCAACTACACTGCTTGGACTTAGCCACAAATAAGTGAGAGGTCTAGTTGTGGGCACGGGGAACCTTCCTGGAGACAGATGTTCCAGGGGGAAACACCAACTTCTATGAACATCTGAAAACAAGGAAGAGAAGCCTGCGTGTGGATGGAGTGAAGAGGGCCTGGGGTAAGGTTGGAGAAGCATGTGATCAAAGATTGAAGCTCTATCTTAAAGAAATGAGAAGCTAGGAAGTGTTTTAAGCAAGGAAAAGAATATGAGATTTAGGTTTTAATGATTCTGCACTACAAATCCAAAAGTGGGTTAGGCAGGGAGGGGTTCCGGCAAAAGGGAAAAATCAAAGACAAAGGGGAAGCATGGGAGGCCATCGCATGATCTCAAGACTAGATGATGGTGGCAGAGATGAGGATACAGAGAGCTGCCTGACTCAAAATCCAGCTGGCCTCTTTGAAGGCCCTGAGAAAGGAACGGGGGGTGGGGGTGAGGGAGGGAGACAGAGACAAACTGCCTGGCTCCCCACATGCGCTGCAGGCACAGCCAGCCACTGGCAGCATCCGCAGAGGAGCCTGAGGCAGGGCGGCCGGACAGGCTCCAGGACAGCAGGTCGGCGGGGGCCCCATGGTAAATGGGGCCCGGGAGTCCAGTAAGCCACAAACTGCAGGCATCTACAGGATTTAGCTGGAGGACAACATGTGTGGTCTTGCAGTGTGTTGGTGTGGGTCAGAAAATGCCAGGCTAAGGAACACGGAGAAACAGCATGTGCAAGCAAAATGTAGGAAAAACTACAATTCACGTCTTCGTGAACTATATTATCAACAGTGTAGGCACGGGCTCCACGGAACAAGGAAGAAACAGATCTTCACGTACTGCCGGAACACCAGGACAAGTTAATAAATAAAAACTACAGTCTTTGAAAAATATTCTAAAAGATGTCAAAAATGAGCATTTCAGGTGCATTAATTCCCATATGCCTTGCCATGTAGATGAGACAGATAAAGGTTTAAATCTGTTGGAATACAATGATAATTAATATTTTTAAACAGTCAAACACTTACCTGTTCTTTTCTTCCTTTTGTAAAGGAGGCAAAACATAGATATCATTTTCTCTTCGAACTTGAGTAAGACTGGGTAGTGCCTCATCCCTGAAAAGCAACACTGACTTGAATCAAGATGACAGGACACCCTATATTCAGTCAACGATTCTCCCCCACTGATTACACTGTCCCATCTGAGGAGAGAAGGGGAAACACGGGGCTATAGGCTGCCCCCTGCTGGCGTGGCTGCCCGGGCCCCTGCCTGGGGAATAAGCGCAGCCTGGAGAGAAGGCGGCACCTGCGGCCGTGCCCAGCCCTCTGGCCGCAGTGCCACCAGCAGCACGCAGCTGCGCATCTTAAAAATACAAAGTGAGCAAAACGCACCCCCTATGGCTTTTCTTTCTCAGTGTGACGGCTGCTTAAATTACTAGGTCAAACAGACAGCCCACTTCTCCCTCTCATTTCACCATTTTCTGCTAAGAAGTAAAATTAGAGAAAAGGAACCACAGGAATCTGATGAGAAAATAAATCATCTTTAAATTAATCTTTAAAATTAAGGTAATTTCCCTCTTGCCTTTTGCTTTTTAAGGCAGTTTTGATAGCTTGTCTTTTCAAAAATGTTTTCAAAAGCTTCTCTGTAGTTCTGTTGGAGTCACTGGTTGCCAAATCCTTTCTCTGCCTTCTCTTAGCCTGTGAAAGGAAAGATGTGGGACTTTACTTCGGGGTATTAGTATATTAAAGGCATTTCTTTGATCCTTTTCTGTGGAATTCCATGTGTCTGAGTGTCCAGACCGTGGCTGCCGCAGTGTTCCCTCCTCGTTGCTGCGTGAGTCTCTTCAGGTGTCTGCACCAGGAAGGACACCCAGAGCTTCCATCTAGTTTTTTCTTCTATGGCTCTGTATGGCTATTACACCATACATTTGAGAAACTATTAATATACCATCAGTTTCTTTTAAGTGTCCTGTAACATCCCTAAGTCTAAAACTTCATTATATATAATTAAGTAAATTCTCCCCAAAAGGGATTATTATATTAACTAATGTGTTCTTTAAAATGTCACTGTTAGGCCAAAAACAATTTCTGATATTGGTTTTTTACAGAAATAACATTATTTACATGCCACTCCGTCCCTCAGCATTCAAGATTATATCATAAGAAATCCTAAAACATACAGAATTATCTTTTAAGAAACGTTCAAGTAGGGAAAAATGGACTAGTATCTGTGCTTATGGTTGTATATAAGGCACAAGTAACAAAAACTCTTTTTTTTTAAAATCAAGATATAACTGACATGTAACTTTGTGTAAGTTTAAGATGTACATATGTGTTGGTCTGCTGTATTCATATATCACAAGACGATTACTACCATTACTGTTAGCTACCACCTTTATCAGGAGCTGGGGAAATTGGGAAGATATTAAGGGTACAAACTTAAAACTAGTAGGAAAAAAGTTGTGGAGCTCTCTTTTCCTTTCTAATCATTCCAGAAGAGCACCTGATACGGTAAGCCTTGGATAAGAAAATACTGCAACATTCAAGTCTGGACCTTTTACTGAGATGACAAATGTCCCATGCCTTTACAAATCCTTACTTTTATGCCACGTCTGCACTTATTTAGACAGTATCTGTCTGTTGTGATTATAAAGTGATGAGTTAGCATTTTCAACATGTAAAAGTCATATATCCAAGTGGGTGGTGTCATGTGGGGCTACACAAGTACTCCAAAGTTTCCAACATTGTTTTCAACTACTTTCATGAGAGAGAGAGAGGCTTGCTCTCATTCTTTTATATTGTGCCCATTTCCTTCCTTGATAATACACATCAGTCACACTTGGCATAATTTAACATGGTTTACCCCTAAAATCCTATTTGCCTTTAAAGGAAGGAGGCAAATCACCATGACTGAGGCTACCACCGAGGTCCCACGATTTCAGGTCAGGGAGGCATTTCCCCACCAGGTGTTCAGTGCTGCCCCTCAGCCTAGCTGGAGTACTTGTAGGTAACCTAAGAAGACACTCTAAGAGGACAACTCCCAATTTTAAGAACTTTAGTAGTTTTATTAGAGGTTAAATGTTACCATTGTACCTGTTATGTACTCTCAAAAATAAACCTTTTATAAAAGAAAAAGTGATTATGTGTTCAATGTTAATTCTTTTTCTAGTTGAAATTAGATATATGTCAAAATAAGTCTTAGTTTCAAAAATTCTAAAGAGAAAATTAAGATCTCATGTGAACTTTTCTTTCTTTCTAAGAATGCAGAAAAAAAACAAAATAGAAGACTCTTACCAAAGTCTGTTTTTTCAGTAGTGGGGAATCCCCATCAAACACAAATATAGGACGAATTCGAAAAAATAAGAGTTTGCAGAGCCGATGAAACAAGGTGAGAAGATGAGCATTTTCTATTGAGTTCCCATGGCGATCCCGGACTCCTTTAAGGGCTTGGTTTAACCAAATGCTAATATCTGGGAGAATTGTTAACGGAAATCATCTTGGAATTTCTGCCCTCATGCTCACAATTTTAATTTCCTAATAACTGATACCATCCAAACACTGAAACTAAGCACTCGTATCAATTCATTTAAAATTGAAGAAGCTTTTGCCCTGATGGAATCTACCTAAAATCAATTAACTCTATTTCAGCCCTTGTTACCAATGTTCACATATTGAATTTTAAAATCTTACAGACAGCTGTGTCCTTTAAAAAGTCTACTTGCAAAGAATTGCTTCTTTAAAAGAAAAGCTAATGATCTCTACAGAATTTTAGTATATCAGTGCAACTCTTCTTTAAAAGCTTTTCAAACTTGCCTTCAATTTTACTTAAGAAAGCCACTTTCAGATATTTATCCTCAGGAAATCATCACTGATTTACAGAAAAAGTTACTTAAAGGAATGTTTATAAATGAAAATATGAAAAACTATTTAAAAGTTTCCCAATGGGTCTTTTTTTTCAACTAAATGATATATTAGAATATGATTTGCTGGAATACCAAGGAGCCCTTAAAAATGGAAGCCACAGAAGCATATACAGTAGCAAGGCAAATAGTCACAAAATAAAACTATGGAATGTACAACTCCATTTTATAATACATGTGATTTGTTACACATAAAAACAGCGCTCAGATGGCACAATACTAAGAATAGCTTTCTCTGCTGTGATAGTAATTTATGTTTTCTTCTTGGAGTTTTATTTTTAAATGTCTCTTCTAAAAAGGGCTTATTTCTATAATAGGCTGATCCAGTCATTTCCTATTTGTCCATAAGACAGTGGGACAGGGCAATGCTGGCTTTCCGGCCCCGCTAACTCACCATCACAGTGCCGACGTCAGCAGCGGTGGCGCTCAGGCCCTCTCCTCTGCTCTCGCCTGCGCTAGCTACCCACGCTAGCTACCCACGCTACCTGGGCATCCCCTACCCCACCGCGTGCCCCGCCCCAGGGCTCCCTCCTGACCCCGACTGGGTGGCTTCGTGGACCTCTCTACCTCATACCTTACAGACATCTCAAATGGAACATTATCAAAACTGAATTCCGTGTCTTTCCCAGAGTTGTTTCCGAGCAGGTCACTCTCACTCACCCAGAACTCAGCGACACCCCATGTACTCTCCTCACCCAACCATTACCAGATTTGATCAATTCTACCTTTTCATCTACCTTGAAAGTGTGTATTAGGTTTCACCAACATATTTTTAGTGAAAAGCCTCTGAAGGCTTCCCACCGCCTTCCAGAGCTTCCTCCCATGGCCTGTGATGCCCAGAATGATCTGGCCTCTGTTCATTTGTCCTCTCGATTCAAGCTACTGGTCATCTCTCAAACCCTGCCTGCCCCAGGGTCTCACATGCTCCTTCAGCCGCCTGAGTGTCTCCCTCTCCTAGCCTGGTTATCTCCTCCTCTGAGGTCTCAGTCTGTAGGTCACTTGCTCAGTCCAGAAAAAGTCCTCCAGTTATTATTCACTCCTATTCAAAAACGTATTGCTTATTATGTGGTAGAAATCCCATGGCGAATATATAGCACTGAACAAAACAAAGGGTTTGTCCTTATGGGGTTTCCAGTCTTGCAGACGGAAAAACCAGACTGAGAGCCCCATGACTCGTCTAGAGCACATTTTTGTGCACTGCTCTCCTTTTCCCAGGGCACATAGGAGGAACAAATATCTGCAATTATATGAGCTGAAATTAAATCCTTAAATGAATTACATTACCTAACTTAGTACTATAAAAAATTAGGCCCATCAACAATTAATAAACACCATGTAAGAAAATAACTAGTGAAAAGCAAGCTGTTATTATATTCCTTCCTATATTTGAGCGCTACTCTGTGTCAGGCATATCGGAGATACCAAGATCTTGACACAGAAGAGCAAACAACAGACATGGTCCCCATCCCCAAAAAAGGCTGCATTCTAATGAAGAGGATGGCAATTTTTTTAAAAATCAGGTAATAGACATATAATCCATTAGGTTGTTGGAAAGTGCTAAGAAAAAAGTAAATAGAGCAAAGTAAAAGGACAACAGAGTGATTTCGGGTCAAGGGTTCTTTAGTTACAGAAGGCCCATCTGAAGAAGTAATGGAGAGCTGAATGAACAGCAGCAGCAAGGTGTTAACAGTGAGGCAAGGGGCACAGCAAACTCAAATGCCCCAGGACAGAAGCAGCTTCCGCCTAAGGCCACTGTGGTGGGGCACAGCAGGGGAGCAACAGTCGTGGTGTGGGTACAGTGTCTAGGACATCACTTAGGGACCACCTAAGTGGACGTGTGAGCAACACACTATACAGAAACCAGTTCTAAACCTAGTTGCAAAAGCCCGAGTGAAAGCAGGTTAAAAGCTTTTCAAACTTGCCTTCAATTTTACTTAAGAAAGCCACTTTCAGATATTTATCCTCAGGAAATCATCACTGATTTACAGAAAAAGTTACTTAAAGGAATGTTTATAAATGAAAATATGAAAAACCATTTAAAAGTTTCCCAATGGGTCTTTTTTTTCAACTAAATGATATATTAGAATATGATTTGCTGGAATACCAAGGAGCCCTTAAAAATGGAAGCCACAGAAGCATATACAGTAGCAAGGCAAATAGTCACAAAATAAAACTATGGAATGTACAACTCCATTTTATAATACATGTGATTTGTTACACATAAAAACAGCGCTCAGATGGCACAATACTAAGAATAGCTTTCTCTGCTGTGATAGTAATTTATGTTTTCTTCTTGGAGTTTTATTTTTAAATGTCTCTTCTAAAAAGGGCTTATTTCTATAATAGGCTGATCCAGTCATTTCCTATTTGTCCATAAGACAGTGGGACAGGGCAATGCTGGCTTTCCGGCCCCGCTAACTCACCATCACAGTGCCGACGTCAGCAGCGGTGGCGCTCAGGCCCTCTCCTCTGCTCTCGCCTGCGCTAGCTACCCACGCTAGCTACCCACGCTACCTGGGCATCCCCTACCCCACCGCGTGCCCCGCCCCAGGGCTCCCTCCTGACCCCGACTGGGTGGCTTCGTGGACCTCTCTACCTCATACCTTACAGACATCTCAAATGGAACATTATCAAAACTGAATTCCGTGTCTTTCCCAGAGTTGTTTCCGAGCAGGTCACTCTCACTCACCCAGAACTCAGCGACACCCCATGTACTCTCCTCACCCAACCATTACCAGATTTGATCAATTCTACCTTTTCATCTACCTTGAAAGTGTGTATTAGGTTTCACCAACATATTTTTAGTGAAAAGCCTCTGAAGGCTTCCCACCACCTTCCAGAGCTTCCTCCCATGGCCTGTGATGCCCAGAATGATCTGGCCTCTGTTCATTTGTCCTCTCGATTCAAGCTACTGGTCATCTCTCAAACCCTGCCTGCCCCAGGGTCTCACATGCTCCTTCAGCCGCCTGAGTGTCTCCCTCTCCTAGCCTGGTTATCTCCTCCTCTGAGGTCTCAGTCTGTAGGTCACTTGCTCAGTCCAGAAAAAGTCCTCCAGTTATTATTCACTCCTATTCAAAAACGTATTGCTTATTATGTGGTAGAAATCCCATGGCGAATATATAGCACTGAACAAAACAAAGGGTTTGTCCTTATGGGGTTTCCAGTCTTGCAGACGGAAAAACCAGACTGAGAGCCCCATGACTCGTCTAGAGCACATTTTTGTGCACTGCTCTCCTTTTCCCAGGGCACATAGGAGGAACAAATATCTGCAATTATATGAGCTGAAATTAAATCCTTAAATGAATTACATTACCTAACTTAGTACTATAAAAAATTAGGCCCATCAACAATTAATAAACACCATGTAAGAAAATAACTAGTGAAAAGCAAGCTGTTATTATATTCCTTCCTATATTTGAGCGCTACTCTGTGTCAGGCATATCGGAGATACCAAGATCTTGACACAGAAGAGCAAACAACAGACATGGTCCCCATCCCCAAAAAAGGCTGCATTCTAATGAAGAGGATGGCAATTTTTTTAAAAATCAGGTAATAGACATATAATCCATTAGGTTGTTGGAAAGTGCTAAGAAAAAAGTAAATAGAGCAAAGTAAAAGGACAACAGAGTGATTTCGGGTCAAGGGTTCTTTAGTTACAGAAGGCCCATCTGAAGAAGTAATGGAGAGCTGAATGAACAGCAGCAGCAAGGTGTTAACAGTGAGGCAAGGGGCACAGCAAACTCAAATGCCCCAGGACAGAAGCAGCTTCCGCCTAAGGCCACTGTGGTGGGGCACAGCAGGGGAGCAACAGTCGTGGTGTGGGTACAGTGTCTAGGACATCACTTAGGGACCACCTAAGTGGACGTGTGAGCAACACACTATACAGAAACCAGTTCTAAACCTAGTTGCAAAAGCCCGAGTGAAAGCAGGTGGTGAGGGAGACCAGAAGTGGTCGGAGAGAGGATCCATGTTGGAAGTAGGATTTGGTGTGGACTCAACTCCATATTGTATCAGGCAAATATTTGTGCTTGGCTTCCTTCTGATTGCTACATTGTTATATAGGATTCAACTTAGCTTTACTTTACATTTTAAAAGCAATCAGAAAGCTGACTTCAAATCAGTGGCTCTCAACTCTTCTATCCTTGGCAACTGATAAGCTTTTGAAATAGATTACTAAACATAGTATGCCTAATCATTCTGAATCATAGACTGAGATGGGTCTTTTCTGAAAATTAATCACAGGCAGTGCCAGTTATCAGCTAGGGCTGAGAGTCCAGCTAGAAATTCTTAAAGAATAAATATATAAAATTAGGCAATCTGAAATATTTGTATAATTTGACTTGTCCAATTTCAGTAAGTGCATAAAAGGCAGTATTAAATGTATCCCAGGGCTGTAAAAGTTAAATCTGCAGCAAAGTCAAACATCATTGTACAGCTAAGATCCAAAGGACCAATAACATTTTGAAACCAAAATAAATTACTTTAGTCCTATTGTTAGGTAACTTAAAATATAATTAATCCCAATTAACAGGCACAGCCTCAAGAGAGTATAACATTTTGCTAACACACTTAATTGCATTTTATAAATGTTAAAGTCCATAAGAGATAAAAGTTAAACTATTCTTTATTATTTGGCACACGCATTTACATTATACAAATAAATATGACACTCAGCTCCATGGTAAAAAGGCCAAAAAATTTATTTTAGGGATCCAAGAGTAAATTATGAACCTTGTATATCATGGGTGATTTCTCCACTAACAAAACAAAATATCTGAATATATTTTGGTTAGTTGAATTTGAATTCCCATCCTTTTACATATATGTATATACATATATTATGAGGTTATCATTTAAACTGCAACATCTTTGGCTGTCCTCCTTAAATTATTCCTTCTTTAAAAAATACCTAATAAATCCACTGAACTAAATTCGTATCCCAAAAGAGCTTCTGAGTCATCTAAAAACAGAATATAAATGAAATGCTTTACATTCCTTACTCTGGACAACTTCCTAAAAAACTAGAATGCTGAACTTCACATGACATTTCCATGACTTTGAAAATTATTAATTCTTCATAGGGGTTGCAACATAAAAATGACATCTTTGCTGAAGTTTTAAGGGTTTCTGTCACTAAAATTGGGCTTTCATTCATAGTTCTGTGGCGGTCTTTGGAAAGCAGTGATTTGAGGAACCCCTAGAGGGCAGCAATAGCACACATGTTTTAAAAAAAAAAAAAACCTTTCCCTTTCCTTCCAGAAGGTAAACCTGCGTAAAAACTTTACACTGAGCCTAAATTCATTAGATGTACTTCAAGATTATTCACATTGAAAATAATAATAATCTTTATCATCTTTATTTATAAAAATTATCAATGTTCCATTATGCATAAGCTTTCTCTATACTAAAGAATATTGGCTCCTCCGTCAGGGGCTACTTTCACTAAATTACCACATACTCTTAACACTGCATTTACCACCTGACAGCAATTATTTACAAGGCTCTTCTCCACCTAGCCCATGAGCTCGTAAGCTCATACGTTCCCATTTAGGGAACTGGTGAAAGGTAGCACCAGCTTCTGGAACAGAACAGACACTCAAAAAATAATAAGACTGTTTAATAGATTAAAAGATCAAGATTTCAGAAACAGTATTCACATGTCTTTACAATGAAGAAAAACATTTAATTACGAAGACACAAACAAAACCAGCCAAACATGCAAACACTCCTTTAAAAGTCCTTCATAACCTAGGAATTTACCCTAAGAAGGCAAGAGCCCAGTTTGTAAAAGACATACATACACACCTCTATGTTTATCACAGCACTATTTACAATAGCCAAGAAATGGAAGCAACCTAAGTGTCCATCAGTAGACGAATGGATAAAGATGTGGTACATATACGCAATGGAATATTATTCAGCCATAAGAGAAAACAAATCCTACCATTTGCAACAACATGGATGGAGCTAGAGGGTATTATGCTCAGTGAAATAAGGTGTCAAAAGATAAGTATTAAATGATTTCACTCATCTGTGGAGTATAAGAACAAAGCAAAAACTGAAGGAAGGGTCAAAATAGCAGCAGATTCACAGAACCCAATAATGGACTAACAGTTACCAAAGAGAAAGGGACTGGGGAGGATGGGTGGGAAGGGATGGATAAGGGGGAAAAGCGGCGGTGGGGGGCACGGGGCAGGCAGTATAAACAACAGAGTGATTCTATAGCATCTTCCTACGCTGATGGACAGTGACTGTAATGGGGTGTGTGGTGGGGACTTGATAATGGGGGGAGTCTAGTAACCATAATGGTACTCAAGTAATTGTTCATTAATGATACTAAAATTTAAAAAAACCTCCATCATAAGGGCTGGAAGGAAAACAATTTACTGCATACCTTTTGAAATCTTTTCAGCGGTGTACCATATAAATTTCCTACTCCAAATATCGTAAGAAAAATTAATAAAAGTCACTTTTTTTTTTAAGGTCAAACACCTGTCCACAATATCCTTCCTCTCTATCATAAATGGGGCAAGCCTCGGGACAGCAGGCAAAACTGCCGGTAGGAAACCCACTTCATTTTCTCTTCCGAGCCGGGATTCTTTCAAGCTTTAAAATAGAAACGGTGCCAGTCACTATTCTAACATTTTTTCATGGAAATAATCCCTTTATTTCATACCCCCCCTGTGGGTGGATACTATTATCACCTCCATTCTCCAAATGAGAGAATTAAAGCACAAAGACGTCAAAGCACTGCCCGTAAGTGACGAAACTGGGACTCTGACCCCGAGTGCTATGACCGCAAAGGGGGGGGAAGGACACGCTTGGCAGACGCCGCGAGGGGGGCCTCCACGGCGCCTCTGGGCGAAAGCGTCACTCTACCAACACCCTCTCCGCCCCGAGCGCGGCCGACAGTGGGTGCAATGCTGGCGCATCGCCGCCCGCCCAGCCCCGACGGCGCGGTAAGGATACCCACGGCGAGGACCTTCCCCTCCAGCGCCTCCGGGCTGACCGGCCGCCCGGAGCACTCCAGCAGCTTCCAGAGCCCCTGCACACCCATGAGGCGGGTACCCGGAGCGCGGGAAGAGCGTCCCCTGCTCCCGCACCGGAAAGACGGAAAATAACGAAGAGCTCGCGGTCGTCCAGGGAAAGCAGCAGCCAGCGAGACGGGCACTTCCAGCGGCTGCCTGCCTCCCGGAAGAAAGGACAGCGAATGGCCGGCAGCGGGGAGGACTTGCCCCTCGTCTCGCCCAGCGCTTTGGCCCGAACGTTTGCCCTCTTAACGCCAAGACCGGGATGAGGGGACAGCGCAGGGGCGACAAACAGCAAGGAGACACCCGCCCACCCAGCCAACCGGCCCGAGTAGGCGCCCAAGAGAAAAGAGGCCTCCCGGCTTCTGTCTAATACGTCGCGCAAGGCGGAAGTCTCGCCTCCCCGCGTGACGTCTATTGGCTGCGCCGATGCATCGCGGAAGTGGGGGGGGCGGTTCAGCGTCGTGCTTGTGTGATAGTTTCGTGCTTCATCCACGCTGGCATTTTTGTCGCGTGTTAACGTTAAAGCGATACGCGGCGTGGACTTGCGGAAGAGACAATATTCCACGCGTTGATTGAATATCGTTTTCATCCCGCTGGCCGCCAGTTGTGAAAACCGTCAATATTGTTTTACACGTAAAACAACCAAAAGGCAGGCGTTGTGTTGGTGTTTTTAAATTAGTAAGTACGCTATTTGACAGCTTGTAGTAACTACAAAGGAGCAAAAGTTAAAGCCTTGAAACAGAGGTTCGCTTTTCTTAGGCATCTCAAGTTTAGGATTCCACCGCTTGTAGGTCTGAAATGACAAGAAACCAGACAGGCCAAGACCTCAGCTCCAGTCCGCGTTCCAGTGTTTAGCATTGCTCACGTAACATTTTTGCACAGAACTTAACGTTTCTTCATCTGTAAACTGGGCCTAAAACCAATCGTCAGATTATTTTAGCTAGGATCAGAGGATTTGTGCAAAGTATTAACCACTAGTAAATTTATAAATGAGTGTAACTGTACATACTGATAAAAATTTGAACTATTGAAACCAAAGTCAAACTCACTGAAAAGGTTAAGTGAGAGAGTAGCTGTGTTAAAGAAGCCCTTTATTCACATATAGCTTTATGACAAAGCTATATCAAAAACTGGTCTTTAGCAAAACCATTTCTGTGCCCAAACAGATGGTTCACAATAGCCATGTTTAGTTAGTTGACCCAGTCGCTATCCAATAGTCTTATCAGGCAGGGATAAATCTGACAAAGTGCTTTTTTGTATTTCCTCCAGACATTCTTAGTTGTATTTTATGGAGATGAGTACGATGTTCGATTTTTGTCTCCCTCATCCCCATCCCCTGTGGTAGACTGTAAACTTACTGGAGCCCAGAACTGTTTTGTTGACTATTATATCCCCCACTCCTGGCACTGGGCAAGGATTCCATAAATACTGCTTAAATGACCTCTTTGAGTCTCCAGTCTAAAGCTCTCCTGCCCCTTGCTTAACAAGGGTTTCCTGGAGAGGCAGCCAGCCAAGATCCCATCGAAGCCATACAATAAACCTGTGTTAATAGGTTGAATTGTGTGCCCCTCCAAAATTAATGTTTAATCCCCAATACCTTAGAATGTGACTGTATTTGGAGATAAAGCCTTTTAAAAGGTGATTAAGTGAAAGCCTTGAGGGTGAATCGAGACTTGTCCTAGTAAGAGGAAATTTGAACTGACACCAGGGATGCATACACAGACGACAGACCATGTGAGGAGGACACAGTGAAAAGGCAGCTGTATGTGAGAAAAGGAGAAACCAAACCTGTCACACCTTGATCTTGGACGTCTAGCTTGCAGAACTGTGAGAAAATCAACTTCCATTGTTGAAGCCCCCAGTCTGTGGTATTTTGTCACAGTAGCCCTAGCAAACTAAGATACCCTATGATTCTAAGCAAGTTCGTTCACCAGTGAGAGTCCATGAATGAAGTGGAGATGCCATCACCTCTGGGTTACTCTGAGAAGCGTGATTTGACATGAAACACCTAAATCAGGATGGTGCTCAAATTACTTTGTGACTGAGGGAGAAAACACTATGGGTAAAATTAAGGTTCAGAATGTGATGGATCCTAGAACACCGTGTCTGAGCTCCTCCAGGGTCTAGAAGGCATGTTGGGAAGTGTTAATAGCTGTTGGACCAGCCTGGCTAATGATGGAACACAGTAATGGGCAAAAGGTCAGTTTCAGGACCTGTCTTAAATGAACATTTTTTACAACCTTAGAACTGGATAAAACAAAGAGTCAGTGTGGACATTTGAGTACTATAAGTGCATTTTAAAACCAGTGCAACGTTTCTTGAATACAAAACACTGCTTTGAAGGAACAGCAACTAAGGAGTTTATCTGTGATTTACAAGGAATTGGTTCCTTTGGATGCTGTTTAAAAGGCTCTATCAAGATTCTGAACAGTAAAATACATATCTTTGGGAGTAATAAGCATTTAAGTAGTAGCTCCTATCTACAAAGCACTGTTCTAAACGCTTGACATGCATTAACTTACTCTTCAAAACAAATTATAAAATAGATACTATTATCCCCATTTTACCAATGAGGAAATTAGTGCAGAAAAATTAATGTTCACTTGCACAAAGTGATACAGCTAGTAAGTTCAGAACCAGTATTTGAACCTTCAGTGCTTCTATAGAGACTCCTAAGAAGAGCTAAGAAATTAAACATGACAGGAATGTTACTAATCTTGAAAGATAAGTGTGCAGTAACTTGTTAGTTTCTGGGAAATTAGTCTCTGTAAACTTCAGTGTGCTCTTAATAACTGCCAAACTTTAAGCCCAGTTATTAAATGGCCATCTGTATCAAGGCTTATAAAAATTGTTTATGGCCAATAACTAGTCTGCATAAACTTTCTCTCCTTTCCTAGGTCTCATGTATTCTTTATTTTTAATCCTGCATTTACCTCCTTTCCTCTTGTCTCTTCCTACCTTCTTCACTGAACTATGTGGTTGAACTCAACGAAATTGCTGATACTCAAACCATGTTTGACCTACAAGGACAACTTCATTTGGTTCAAGCTAACATAAGAATTAATTTCTGCTTCTTATTATAGTCTTACAGAAATCTAAAATTATAGTCATCATAATGCATATAGTTTCACTGATTATAAAAGTCAGATGTGAGATGGTTTCTTATAACACACTACTTAGGCAGGATTGTTAGGTACTTCAAACAGAATTCATGAGTACTCTCTACCTAAAACAAAGGTTCAAAACATACACATTATTAAAAGTAGAAAACAAAATTTTATTTGATGAAGACTTCTTAAAAGTTCCCGTGTGAAGTAACAAAATCAACAACCTACAAATCTCTTTCAGTCTTTTGCATTTCAAGCAAAATATCTCTACAGAAAAATGGCCATTTCATAATATATATCCCCTTCTGTAGGCCAGGCATGTCTGAGTGGAAAAATGGATATAAAATTCAAGAGAAGAAACTGAAAATATTTTAAAAATAAAAATCTGAACCCTCTCCTTGAGGTGTATTGCAATATGGTTACCAACATATTCAGCACCTTGTAATAATCAAGTTACTGATTTGAGTCCTGGAACAGTCCCTGAAATGAAAGAACAGAGATGCCAGTCGTTTGTGAGTCACAGGTTGGCAGCAGAAGAAAAACTGAAAGCAATTACAGAGGAGCTCAACAAATGAAGTCCACACTTTCTGAACTATTTAACACTCAACACAAACAGCCAATTTTCTATATGGTTTTAAAAAGGAAACAGCTCAGAGTTTGGAATATGGATAGTTGCCCTCTGAGGGACGTGGCATTCCTAACGCATCTTAACAACATATGACTCCATCCTGAGGGACCAGTCAAATATCAGAAGATCTCATTTCACAGGTTACTTTGGATACAGAAACTTTGGGTACCACTTGTTCTTTTACTCTGTCCCTAAGACATGACTTATTGCAGACTTACAGAAATCTTTCAAGACCTAACGGTCTTGTCAATATTGGAGAGTAGAATACCAAGCCAAGAAAGTTAGCAATATCCCGAATCAAAGCACTAAGTCAAACATTTGCACCAATAGATCAGATTCTTCAGTCTTTTCCCTTTTGCCTCCTATACTGAGAATCCTGAGACTGTCGGTCAAGCAGGCCAAGATACCGCTTACAAGAATTCCTAGACTCACTAAATAAATGAGCTTTAGCCATGAGAGAAAGAATAAATGAACATCCCCAATTATTTTTAAAGGCAAATGATGCCTTACATCTTGAGCTTAGGAATAAAACTATCTGTAAGGAACGTCTGAGGATCAAGTCATAAGGAATCATTTCATGCTTAAGTGTTTCACATTGTGATGCTATTATTGTTTGTATTGGTTTATATGTAACTTTATTGGATTTTGTGAAATTGTCCAAAATGTTTATATACCTTTAACTTTAAAAAGGTCAGTAATCTGTGCTTATCTTTTTCTATATCTGAAACCACCCATCATAATCATATACAAGATTATTTACTGGAGAATTGCAAGGTTGTTTTTTACCACAAGCTCTGTTCCTATTTAATGCAGACTTAATAAAATCTTCTACGTCTTAATGCAGGGCTGTGTAGGCCAGTGGTGTGTATAACACAGATTGTTCGTTACCAGCACAGTCAATCATTCCCATCATAATCACTGTAACCCTGGTAGCCACTGTTCCTTCTCTCATGGATACTGGACATCTTTTTCCATGATGAGTCTTGATGGAAACTAGCACTGAAAGACCGGCCCAGACGCCCTCGATGCTTCTGGGAGATATTGTCTTCACTCTCGGACTTGGCAATGCCCTGCACATGTGCTGGAGGTTGTGATTCTTGCCTAATGTTTCCAAATGGAAAGTTCCAAAGGCCAAATCTTTGCCAGTTAAGTCTCTGGAACGCTATGATGCAATGCAAATTTCCCCCAACCTGAGAAGAAAAAAGGGGGGTTAAGAAAATGATAAGAAATTAATTATACTGTAATATGGATTCTATGAATTCCCTTATTTTTCTCCCTTCACCTGCCTCAAAACAGTACTTAATCCTATCAGACATCATCGGATCACATTATCCTGCATCTTTTCTGACCAGCTGTCTTTACAAAAATGTAACAATGCACCCAGAAGCCAAAACTCCTCCCCCACCACCACCACTCACACCCACTATGACCTTCCGTCTGCCCAATGCAAACGCCAAGATCAGCCCTCCACCTCTCTCCTATACATTGTTCACATGTTAGTAGGATTCTATCAGGTCTACCTTTCCCTGAGAACTGCCCCCAGCAGCCTTGTTTGTACACACAGCTCTGCCCCATGACCACAGTCAATTCGGCTCAGGAGTGAACACCAAGCTGGCCAAGACTATGGAACTAGACCTAAGGCAGCCAGTTTCAGTCTAGACTGTTCATCTGAAAGGAGACAAAAACTGGAAGGATGATGATCTTCAGGAAGTAAAATATTACACAAAAAGAGAGATAAGAACAAGATAATTCCCAAAAGAATGAAACAGACTAGCTACATGGCCCCTGCTAACATTTTTTTAACCTGGCACTAGCCTCTTATGAGTCCAGGCTATTCCCGTTGCCCTTTCATGTTATAGATACCTGTGTCCTTAAAGTAATTTACGCTTTTCTAAGATGGTCTTAATTGGGTTTCTGTTTTTTACAACCTAAATAGTGCTGAGTAAAATACTGCATTTTGGCCAGTTGGGAAATACCTTCAAATGCAACGCTGTTCTTACCTTCTTTGTTTTTCGATACTGCAGCCCCCTCTCTAAGTGCCGGATATCTAGATACTCTGGATTTTGTGTGTTTAGATCAGTAACAATATCTGCCCATCTATAGTTAAGAAGGAAAGATAAAGAACAATCTTCTTTAAATAGAAAATATTTAGAACTCTTTTCATGAGCAATTTGCTACACTATTACCATGGCAATAATTCTCTTAGGATTGTTCCACCTACTAAACTTTAATAAATTCTTGTTTTATGAAAATTCTATTTATCCAGCTATTGCTATGTCAGTGTAAAAAATGGTTACTTTTACTATAAAATATGTATGTATCAACCTGTTAGATGACATCCTGCAGGCTAGAGAGGAAACATTCCATATTCCCTTTTTAATTAGAATCAAGGTTTCAAAAGATTTAAGGTTGACATGTCTTTATTCACAGACATGATTCTGCAGAATATCCAAAGCAATTATAAATTGCTTTGTATTGAAAAACTATTAGTAGGATTAATAAGTAAATTTGATAAAGATGCAATATTCAAAAGCCTATATAAAAATAAACTTTTTGTTTGTGCACTGCCAGAAAATAATTGGGATATGAGATTTTTTTTAAAGGAAGTTGGTTAAAAGGTACAAACTTCTGGTTATAACATAAATAAGCAGGAGGGATGTAACTACAACATGACAACTACATCTAACACTGCTGTATGATACACAAGCAAGTTGTTGAGAGGGTAGACCCTAGAGTTCTCGTCACAAAAAGGATAATTTTTTTTCTTTTTATTGTATCTATATGACATGATGGATGTTAACCTATCACGGAAATCATTTCACAATATATGCAAATCAACTTATGCAATGATATATATACATTATTTCTCAGTAAAACTAGAAAATAAATTAAGTTTAAAAATGAAAAAAATTTAAAAATCAATTTACAATAACATCAAAAAACACACCACTCTCAGGGATTTGTACAGCTTGGTGCCCATAGAAATATAGTACTGTATACTTGAAATTTGCTAAGACAGTATATCTTAAGTGTTCTCACCACACAAACACACACACACATAAACATAACTATTGGTGCTGATGGGTATGTTAACACTTAATTGTGGTAATCATTTCACAATGTATATATCAAATCAGCATGTTGCACACTTTAAATATATACAATTTTATTTGTTAATTATACCTAAAGTTGGGAAAATTTTTTTAATTTAAATTTAAGATTTAATTTTAAATTTATTTTTAAAAAAGGAGTAACAATATCAAATACTGGTGAAGACGTAAAGAACAACTAGACTTTCCTACACTGCTGGTGGGAATGTAAAAAACAACCACACTGAAGAACTTTCTCCTAGTATCTTAAATACACACCTACCCTATAAATCAACAGTTCCACTCCTAGTATCTATCCAACAGAAAGAAAACATAAAATGTGTCCTCAAAAGACTTGCACAGCACAAGCTGGCATATCCACACAACAGAAAACTGTTTGGCCATATAAGGGAATGAAATTCTGGTCCATGCACAACATGGATGAATGTTGAAAACATTATTCTAATTGAAAAAAGCCAGATACAAAAGGCCACATGGTGTCTGATTCCATTTATATGAAATGTCCCTTTTGGGCAAACCAATACAGGTAGCAATTACGCGGTTGCCAGGGGCGGGGCAAAGTGGGAAGGGGGAGTGACTGCTAATGGGTACAGGGTTTCTTCAGGAATGATGAAAACATTCTGGAATTAGTACTGATTGATCAATTCCATGAATACACTAAAATCCACTGAATAACACATTTTTAAAGGGTGAACACTATGGTATGTGAATTATAACTCAATAAAGCCGTATTTTAAAAAGTTTAAAGACATGTACATCAATGTTCTTAATGGTTTTAGTCACAACAGACCAAACTCAAAACAATCCAAACGTTCATCAATAGGACAATGGATAACAAACTGTGGAGAACTGATACAACTTAATACTACTCAGCAATAAAAAAAGACATAACTACTGATACACATGACAAAGTGGATGAATCTCACAAATGTTACTTAAACCACAGAAGCCAGGTGTGAAAGAACACTGTATAATTCCGTTTACATGTATCTCAAGAACAAGCAGAGACAGTTTATAGTGACAGAAATGAGATTTGAGGTTGTCTCCAGGGATTGACAGGCACAAGAAGGTGCTTTCCGTGATGAGAGTGCCCCATGTCTGGGTGGGGGCAGTGACTACACAGGGCATATTCATTAGACAACTGAGATCTGAGCACTTCACATTATGTAGCTCTTACCTAAATTAAAAGGAAAAAAATGGGAAAAACATACTTTTTACAGTGAATAGCAGGATGTTTTCTACTTGATTCTCCAATTAGGATCCAATATTCTACTTCTTGTGGCAAGAACGGACCCCTGCTAAATATAAATTGCATTCATAGTAAGCTTAATGAAGGCCATTTGCTCCCTTGAAAACTGCTTCAACTATATGTTAATAAAAGATATATTAAAGTTTACTCAAAGACTGCATTCATTAATGCTAGAGTAGATACTGGAGTTTAGGCTTTAGCAAATTTCTTAAGACCACTGAAGAAACAGTGTAAATTAAGCTTAGGTCTTGACCCCCATTACAATAGCTAGGGCTAAAAAAGTTGAAACATACCACCTCTGAGCATCTAGAAAGAAGTCCTGGCATGCTACCAGCACTCTTCAGCTACTCCTCTCCTTTCACCACATATTCAAAAAGTTTCAAAAGAAATCCTAAAAACCCTAAAGCAGCAAAGAAACTTTTAAACAAACTGACACCCAGAGCCTGCCCCTGGAAATCCGAACTGGAGTTGGTCCAGAGCGGGATTTGCAGGTGCACAAGAGTGTCAGGTGAGGCTCAGGCAGGCAGAAAGGCGCCCCGAAGGGTATGGCGTGGGAGCACTGCTCCGAGTCTGACATCTGATCGATGTCGGTGGTTGCTGAGGTTGTAGGGTAAAATCAGACAAGAGACACAGTACGTCTCACCGCCGGAGAGATGAGCAAAGTGCTGCAGGATCTGGAGACACCAGGCAGTTTCCTCTTGCTCCTCACTCACAGAAATATGGTGCCCAGCTTCCTGGTCCTCTCGGTCTCAGGGTCCCATCTCAGGATCTCCTCAGCCTCCTCCCCCTTGCCTTGAGTGGGACTCAGGCCACACGGCCTCCAGCCTCAAGGAACCCATGGCTCCCTGCCCGATGGCCAAGCCCCGCTCCCTGCCCGACTTTCGGCCCTCACTGAAGGAGCGGCACAGCCCCTTGCTCCTCAGTCACCGACATGGCCAGCCTGGGACAGAGAGAGTGGGGACACTGACAATCCCATGTTCTGCACCATGACAAAAGAAGATGCTTCTTAATGTACTCAGTTGGGACAATTTTTGACATAAGAGTCCATAATTCATTTTCCAGGTGGGACACTGGATGAGGACTGGGAGACATAACAGGTAAAATCCTTGACAACTGTTTTATAATAAACCTAAGAGTGATTTTTCAAAAATCTTCTGCTTCTCATGATGCTGAACAGCAATATCTAAGTACATAATGTGAAAGCACAATGAATCAAACTTCTGCAAAAATATAAGCTACGATGTTCAAAGAACAGTCTAGAACTTGATGTGAAGAAGGAAAATAGCCAAGTCTTCCAATTTCTAAGTGACTGAATAGTTCTTAAACACCTTCTACAACACATTTTCCTGGAGAAGGATCCACATAAAATATGGAAATGCTTACCTGAATGCTTTATTAGCTTTAACAGGGGTTGCTTCAAAGCCAATTGGGCAAAAATAATGATTTTGGCAATGATAGATATAAGCCAGTGATTCATCTTTCAATCCAT